AAATGTCTCAAGTTGGCAAATGCCAACCGAGCTTTCTGTAAGCGCGCCGACACTTCATCTGTGATGCGTCCGACAGATGAGATATAGCTACCCAGGTAGCAAAACTTGTCTACTTTCTCTACAACTTCCCCAGTCAGGGTGAGGTTGGGGACTGGGCCAACCCAATCTTGGAGCAGCATTTTAAACTTTGAAGGTGCAAAGCGCATACCGAACATGGCAACGCTAGCACTCAAACTATCCAGAAAAGCTTGCAACTTACTTGGATCTTCACTTAGTAGCACAATGTCGTTTGCATACTCTAGATCAGACAGACTGCCACCCAAAAGTAAATCGATACCGCTATCCTTGCACGAGGATAGGGCTGTTTCAAGAATTAAATCTATGATAAAGTTAAATAGAAATGGAGAGAGAGAGAGAGGGTAACCGTGTCGAACACCGCTTTCCGTGGTGAACTCGGGTAAAAAAGTGCCGTAAGCTCGAACTCGGCTTCCGCTATCATTGTAGAGGGATTGTAATATTGAAATAAGCCTCTCGAGCACACTCTTCAGAGAAAGGCAGTGTCAGAGTTTAGAGCGGTTGACTGCATCGAAAGTCGCTTTCAGGTAGAGGAAGATGGAAACAGCGGGTCTAGGAAAAGTGTCTGTGTTCTAGAATTTGACGAAGAGTAAAGATGTGGCCGATACAACCTCGACCAGGTCTAAAACCAGCCTGGTTCTCACGTGGACTCTTCACGAGCAGCAGACAATCGACGGAGTATGATCCCGGCGAGAAGTTTAGAGGCAATGTTAATCAAACTAATTACTCTGTGGTTTTCACAAGAGGACCTGTCGCCTTTTTTGTAAATCGGTATGATCACCGATTCACACTATTCAGTTGGAATCTGTTCCTTTTCCCACACTGAACCCCGGAGTTTTGTTAACCCCAAAACCACAGCTAGACCTCCATCCTTAAAAACCGATGGGGACAGCCCGTCGGGGCCGGAAGCCCTATATCTTTTGAGATAGCAAAACGTGTCCTAACGAACGGAGCCTATTGAATTGAATTTGATACGATAATAAGTTCTTGTTCGATGCATTCCTAAGTTACTAACCCGCTCACTCCATCCCACTTGAGCCAGACTAAGTAAGTATCGATTGTCGAAAATCACTAGGTGACGGATGTCTTCCACCCGCAAATTCAAGGTCTCACAACAGTAAAGCAGAACTGATAGCACAGTGGCGCAGTATACGCGACTTTCAACTTCAATGAAACATCACGTCGCTGCCACAGGTGTCCAATTCCTGCGTACGCTGCTCGAGCCGTGGGAGATCATCTCCTGTGATGCGCTACCGCTGTTGGTCACGCAGCTACCTAAGTACGAGAAGCAGTAAAATTCGGCTAATTTCTGACCGTCTAGTTTCAGAGCAGAACTCGGTGACACCCAGTCCACCGATCAAGTCGTTGTTACCTATTATGAATAGCTGGCCCACTTTTGTCGCAGATTGTTTTACTAACAGTGGTTCGCCGACCTCCCGTGTTGCGAACAGTCTTTGACTATTCCCTGATGCAGCTCTCATTGAGTTGGCATTGCAGACGCCACCTATCCCTGCCTTGATCCCGGGCGGTCGGGATTTGCCCCTTTTTCTCCATCAGTGCTATTGACTGATCAGCTTTCAAATGTCTCGGGTGGACAACCGCTTCAGATCCACCCTCGCTGCGAAGTGCATTGCTCGTCTAATCTGATTCCACTATTCATCTACAGTTCCACCCAGCAGCGTGGTTAGCTCTTGTCCTAGTTCGGATTAAAAAAGGACACGAACGACTGGGTTAGATAAACGATGATCTACTAATCAAGTTTGGTGGCGTTTCCGAAGACCAGTAAGTTTGAGAGTGAACTGCATTAGAACTAACGCATGATCAGATTCAATGCATGTGGTCCAATAGGACTTGTAGTTTTGCACTGAGCTACGCCAACAGTGGCTTATTGCTATGTGGTCGATCTGAGTTAGCGTGCCAATCGAATTTGAACGCCACGTTGCTGTCCGCTGAGAGCTGTGTCGGAAGTTGGCACTAGATAGTAACAGATGATGATCTGCGCAGAACTGATCGTCATCATCTATTCGCTGGCAGGGAAGAGCACAATGACCATCTAGGCAAGCTCCTGATGCGCTCAGTTTTCCAACGGTCGGGAGTAGTGAATAATCTATAATGATCAAGTAGAACATTCGGGCAGACTCGAGCAATAATGATTGTTACACGACTTTTCTCGAGAAGAAAACAGAGATACCTTGGCGGTTAGTACTCATGGGAATTCAGTGCAGGCAAAAAAGTAAATAGTTGAGCCACTTAGTTAAACTGCAAGAACTATGATCGTGAAGAAGTTGTGTCGGAAACCGGTAAGGAAGACGAGGTGGAACAACACGACTAGAAACCTAACCTTTGACTAGCCCATGGTTAAGTGAGCAATGATGCATCAAGTTTTGAGTCTCTCAGTGTGGCCTAATAGCTCAACTTGTTAGGTGAGCGCAATATCGCCAATTTCAGATAATACAACTGAAAAACCAGCAATTTCGTAACCCGGTTCCGGCCATGAGCAAAAAATTAAAACATCAACACAACTTAACTGACCCTGTTTTAACGGTCAGCATATGTGATAGGTATCACAAGATTGAGCACGATCGCGGTTGCCCAACACTCTACTCTCGCGCAACATCACATCCACAGCGGGGCTTAGATACCGTTATAGTCTTCAGTTATCTTACACGCGTATACTTCCGTGAGACGAGGTCTAACCAGAACAATGGACAGTGAATATTCCAGAGACCGGTGCGACAAACGAGCCTTACGTATTTGACTATTTTTCCAAGGCAGAGAAATTTAAATAGAAAATTCTTTGAATTTGTCGATTTACCACAGTGATTACTCTCAGATAAACTCAACGATACACTGGTAGCCACTAGTTAGGACAGCTAGGTACCCATGGTGCACAGAAAAGCCGACCAGAAATACGTTAGAAACACGACTAGCAAACAA